ATGAGTCAACTTTCTCAACATTCCTTTTCCCTTTGCCCAAAGATGTGGTTTAGAAAAAGTCCTCCAGAGTAGGGTTCTGTCCTGAGTGTAACAGACACAAGTGGCACTGTAGCCAGTCAACATTGTTCTTAGTCTGAGACTTGAGGGTCAGCAGCCCAGGAGCTGTTGTTCCTCATCTTGACTAGCACAGGAAGGACCACCAGCACCCCTCCACTCCAATGAGTCACCTACACCTTACTGTAATCCCCAATTTAGGGACTTTTCTCTAATGCATACAATATGGCAAAAACCACAGGTTGTCACTTCAGGATTAGGCTACAGAAAGACAGTGGCTTCCCTCTTGAGTGTCATAGTCTTGGGTGTCCGTCCTCTCACTCCCCTCTCCTCTCTTCTCTTTGCTCTGAAGGAAGTTTTATGCTTTGAGGGTCCTTAGGAGAGGTATGAATTATGAGACATTGATGGCTTTGGCCACCACCTGAGGCCTGGCCAGATGCCATTTGAGTTTAAAAGTGGGTCCTTCAATGAAGTCATGACTAACACTCTGCTTGCAATGAGGAGATAGACTGTAAGCCGCATCAAGCTAAGTGCACCCAGACTCCTGACACTTAGAAACAGTGAGATACCAAGTATTTGTTATTTCTAAACTGCTAAATTGGGGGACTACTTGTTATACAACAATAAATAACACATAAAACTCTTGACCAAGGAAGAAAATGTTGATTCAACAGATTTGGTAGCTGAGTCTGCTGTATAATCATCTTTGCCCACACACCAAACGTGAGCACCATTACAGTGGGGCCTTCCTCTTCTTCAGTTTGGAATCTCTCACTTCCATAGCATTTGAAAGTACTTTAAAGATAAAAAACATTCCCTTTTAGGTGGAGAACAAGCCAACATGCTAAACTAAGACGAATACAAGTTGATGACAAGCTGGCAGTTGAATATCCCAAATATTCAGTGTTATAATGTCAAAACTGTCTGGCAAAAGACAGGTCAAAAAGAGAAGTGAGTGTTCCAAGATGCCCTTTCTGGTCTTTCATGAACAGTTCTTGCAGCCAGAGCTTCATTACAACCACAGGACTGTGGCACCACGTGGTCATTTTCAAATCTTCCCTGACATCAGAATGCGATTCAGCTAGATAAACCTGGGACTTAGCCAAAATAAGTAGCACTTGAAAAGATGGAGCTAATGACTACCACCACTTTCTTTGGGGCCATATATGACTGTGATGTGAAGAAATAAAGGCCTTTGTTATTTTAAAGGGCAGGGACAATTGGAAGTTTTGCAGCAGACAGTTACAAAATTTTCCACCCCTGGCTTTCCAAAGAAGATACCAGTAAGAGGCTTTGGGAGCTGGGTGTGGGAGGTATTACTTGGAAAGAAAATTAATCCTGGGGAGAATGTAAACCAACACTGCACATTTGCCAGAGAGCCAAATAGACTCGGCTCTTTCCATTGTGAACTTACCTTTTCTCGTCTATTCCTTTATGACATGGCTCCTTAACCCCATAGCACTTTTGCTTTTGTTTGTGTTTCATCACAGCATTTGACATCAGGTAAGCACAGAAAGTGACAGCATCGCTTCTCACAAGTAGTCTAAAAGTAGTCTTTTTCTTTCTTTTTATTTGGGGGAGGGTGTTATTTGAATTAGGACCTCACTGTGTAGTTCTCTGTTTGTCCTGGAATTCACACTGTAGACCAGACTGGCCTTGAACTCACAGAGATCTAACTGCCTCTGTCTTCCCAAATTCTGGGATTAAAGGCATTCTGTCAATTCTCATTTCCTTGAAGTAATTTTGGATTGAGATATTTTGTTTGTTTGGTTTGGTTTTTCTAATGTGAAGGATTGAATCTAGGGCCTCTCACACACTAGGCAATTGCTCAATACTGAACTACTGCCCCAAGCCCAGACTGAGTATTGCTATTGTTGTTTTAAATCATCTTTAAAAACAGTCTCCCCACCCCAACTCCTAAACTCTACCTTTGCTTCTCTACTGCTTTTGCACTTATCTGCCTGGGGCACAGCAAAAGGACTCACTCACAGCTGTGACAGTCCTATCTAGGATGGGTTCCCTGCACCTCATGCATAGATCACTTTTAAAAAATATTGCATTTCCTTCTTCTATACTGGCTCATCCACCCCCTCTTCCTAAATCATTATTCCCATTGCCTAACATCAGAAGCTGTCTGGAACCATAAGGACGAACAGCTCATCAGCTAACTGGGTTTGGTTGCATTTGAGGCAGCATTCTGTCCTGTCAGTTTTCATTTTATTTGACGTCAGTGCTTGGTATTCCTCCCTCGATAAGCAGAGATGAGTTAGGTCAGTGGCCTGATGAATAAACATGAAACTTTGATTCAAAATGGGAGGACACCCTGAACCCCATGGGGAGAAAAAAAGAATCCAAGCCCTGCCACCCACACTTTCAATGACAAAGCAAAATAGCTCCCAAGCTTTAAACATCTCCCAACAAATATCAACACAGCACAGTGGTAGGTAATAGGAATGATGATTTAGAATGCAGAAGATGAAGTCTTGAAGAAAGTACATTTTATAAAAGGAAATGTTGTCTATTCATCTTTATTGCTTTGAGGTAGATACTCTAAAGGGAAAAAAAAATCTGGTATGTAGGGTAAACTGATGCTAAGAAGGAAAGTGGTGATTTCTATTGCAGGCCAGATGGGGGGTGTCAATTGTCTGACACTCTGCCTTGTTCGGGGGACTCTGCTCTTTAGACCCACTAACGAGAGCACAAAAGAACTCCAGTGGAAGGAAAGATCTCAGCAAACCTCTGAGATAAAGTAAATAAAAGAAAATTACAAGAAGCCCAAGTCTGCTAGAAAAGGGAATCCAATTATCTTAGGTTTCAGAATCAGCTTTTTCCTAGATGGGGAAACTGTATCCTGGAGGCAATGACTCCTGCCAACATTCAACATTCAAACTGATCAAAAATCTCTCATATACCGGCAACCAACTGAGACAGGTAGAAAGTAGGACTCAGCCAGGAATGACGTTTTTTTGAAAGTAAGACTTCAGGGACGACAGAGAGATTCAACTTGTCACTTCCCTGCCCGGGAATTCATAATATTCATGATATTCCTTGCTGGCCCCTCTGAGAGAGCAGAGGTCCCTTAGTAACTTCCGACCGGTCCGGGACAGGCAGACAAGGCGCACGAGCGCCCAGTGCCTGGAGCAGGGTTAAGATTTGACCGAGGACAAAAGAACGCTTGCCAATCAGAAAAACGCTATCCCAGAAGGAAAATAACCCCTCTTTGTGTCTCAAAAGCCCTTTAATTAGCAAATGCCCTGGTTTCTAACGCGCTTTAAAACTTTTCTATGTAGATTCCAAATGCAAAGATCAAATGGTTGCTTCTGCAACGAAAACGGGACCCCCGAAGGCCACACAGGGCAACCGAAGGCGCTCAGTAAATCGTACGGAGAGTCCCGGGTACTCGGTCTCAGGTTGCTTTCATAAGCATTCCCCCAGCACTGCCTTAGCGTCCTCCAACCCCACCCCCAACCTCTCGGGCTCCCTACGCTCCCCACAGTGCGCGCGGGCGGGGTGGCTGGCTCTTGAGTCCCGCGCACCCCCAGCTCTGGGCCCTCTCCTCAGAGGGTCTGCACTTCCTCCCGCCACACGTCCCCACCTCGGCCGACTCGGGTTTCTCCTTCCAGGAGGCCCCCTTCTTTGTAACTGGGGGGAGGGAGAGGGGATTGTGGTTTCATGTGGTCGTTTGGGTATGGGGAGAAAAGAGCGATCTTCAGTCGCAGCCCCTTCCCGACCCACACTGATGCTAACCAAAAGCCTCCCGCCCAAGCCAGCCAGGCTAACGTGACTCTGGGTCACGTCTCTCCGCCCAAGCGCTGCGCTATTCTCAGCGTCTCGCCGAAGCCTTTGGCGAATGCGCCCTTCTGCTCAGGAATGTGTGTTTTAGGGTATCCGGAAGAGGAACCAATCTTTCAAACAAATTCCCTTTCTGGTGCGTTCTTCTCCCCTGAGCAAATTCTGGGTAAAAGTTTCTCCTAACTTTTCTCTCCCAGTCCCCCGCCCCTCCCCTCAGGAATCCGCCCAGAGCGCTTCAGGCACCGCC